TCATTGCAGCTGTTGGCCGGCGGGGTCGGGCCGCAGGGCTGGCATGGCAGGCACTGATCGTAGCAGGACATGTCTCTGGTCTGGAGGGGCACCTGTGAGAGAGTGCAGGGAGAAGCAGAAAGCAAGGACACATGAGCAGCAGCACTGCACCCAACCATGGGAAAGCTATGGCGCCTACAGGCCCACTGTAGGCTGCCCAGCTGAAAGCCTAGAAGCAACAATAACTAAGATCCAGGCTCTCTCAGGGGAAGACCGTCTCTCCCCTTCCCTCTCCCATGAGTCAGACCCCACCCAAGAACAAAGACAGCCCCTGTCAGCTGAGACAGACATCAAGGAAAGAATTGGTCTTGAAGGAGGAGGAGAAAAGGTCTCAGACTCACCTGATTCACAAGGAGAAGGAGGCAAGAGAAGGGAATGAAAGAGCTGAGAGTTGTACTGCCTTTTATAGTAGTCCTGCACTGCCTCAGGCCCAGAGGCAGCCTTTGGGGAAGTAATAATTTTCTGACAAGTTCACATCAAACTCAAAGCGTCTCAGCTAATGGCATGGGCTGTGTCCTGGTTTCCTGTTCTGCTGCCTTTTCATTTCCTGGCTTATGCCACGTGCTTCCCCATAGGAAGGCTTCTGTAATTTCCAGAATGAGAGTCCCTTGGCTTTCTGGGGCAGAAAGACATCATCGCAGGCAGAAGACTCAGCTCAAGTGCTGGTGGCACCCCGTGCTGGCAGGTGATGTGCACCTGGGTCATTCCTGTGGGCTTGTATGTGGCAAAGTTGTCAGGAACTAGGCACCGCTCTCCTGCTTCTCGTCCACATGCCTAAGGACTCCCGGGTAAGATGACATGCCACACCCTTTTCTCTTGCTCCTCCCACCTCTCTCTGGTGGTTGCTCCTTGTTGCACGCAGGTGGGCTTCTGCTGGGAGTGTTGGACCCTACTGCAACACTAACAATGCTGTTGGGAACATTTTGCTGGGCTCATTTGCCGCATTCTCTCCCTGTGCAAGCCCTGCAGGTCGCCAGGAGCATGTCTGGGGCCTGTTTTTTTTCGCCAGGGTATATGAGTCCTATTCTTTCAGTGTGGATGATGTGAGGTCCTGGAGACTGAACGAGTGCCTGAAGCAGACACTTGCTGTAAAGACACTATGGGGAGGCTCAGAGGAAGTCAAGTTCATACCGCAGGAGTCAATCACTATGAAATTTGCCAAGCAGAGATGACGTGTTGAAGAGCAGAGCTTTGTCACAGCTGGAAAGAGGCCTTTGGGAAGAGAGTCCTGGGTCCAGCCAGACCCTGGGGATCTTTTGTCTCTGCCTGGTCCTGTATCAGTTCAGACTGTACCTATAGCGGAGGTGAACAGGAGTGGTCTTGAAGGGGGCCTTTTCCACTCTCAGGACGCAGACCTCGTGTCCAGCTGGGTACCATACGGCCAGAGAAAATGATCATGGACACCTCTCTAAACGTGGAATGGTTGGGCTCACCGAGATCACCATGAGACTCAAGATGCTGGAAGGTTCCTGGCAGCCTTCTGTTGCCTGACAGTGGACTGCATGATCTCTTCCTTTGCCTACTACCTAAATTTTGAGGTGGCCAAGACCCCTTTGACCATGTGACGGTGAGTTTGGAGGCAGCACTTCTCCAGCAGGTGTGTCTGCCTGAGGGGATGCTCAAACACCTTCTGACTTTGGGGGCTGTTAAAAGCCCAGCTGCTGCCGCACTGCTCAAGTAAGAATCTTCAAGTGCTGAAAAACCTGGCCCTGGCCCTATGGAAACTGTGGTGTAGCAAAGACTGCAACTTGATTCCTCTCCTTGGGACGAGCGCCAGTCTGTCATCTCTCTAGAGAGCCTCCCTGGGTCAGCAGCTTGGGGATGTGAGGAGGTCTGTTGGAGCAGCAGCTGAAGAGATTTTCTCCACTCCCCACAGGTATGTTGGGAGGCTGTTTTCAGGTGGCAGAGGAAGGAGAAGATAGGAACCTGCAAGCACCAACACCCTCTTTCTCGGAAGTCTGTGGGCAACGTGTGAAAGGGAAAGCATGACGCAGTCCTGTATTTTCTGGCAGTCCTGGTGGGACTTGCAGCCTTTGGTGAGATGCGTCTTTGAGGCTAGCCAGGATTGGAGAAAGAGGAGGTGCTGACGCAGGCCTCTGCGTTGCTGCTGTGCATGGGTAAATGGAAACCTTGGGTAAACTCAGAGAGGTTCTCCTCTGTGCTGTCTGTGGAGAACTCCCAGATGCTTTTCCGTGTGCGGGAAGCCAAGCTGCAGGACGGCATAAGCTGCCTCTCTGCTGAGCCCACATGGTTACCCACTGCATGTAGCACAACACAGAAAGAGGGAGTGTGTGGGTGAGTGTTCCCTGTGGAGTGCTTCCCTCCCCAGCACTCTTTGTTTATAGACCTCAGCTTGTCCAGCAGTAGCGTGTTGCGGTTGTGGTGAGGCTGGGTCTCTGGCTCCGCAGCCTGTGCAGCAAAGACAACTGTCATTAACAGCATGCTGGTGTGACTTTTGTGTCTGAGATCAGACCCAGGGTCTTGAGCAAGGAGCAAAGTAGCCCAATGAAACCGTGACATTCACGCAGGGCCTGGACTTGTGGGAGAGCTATTGAGGGATGCCACCAGAACACCACAAGGCTCCATCCAACCCCCTGAGCTGAAGCTAAGTGCAGCAGGGCAATGAGTGTTCAAAAGATGTATGCGACTGGCTTGTCATGCTCGTATTCTTCCCTCAGCCTCCTCTGCAGCGCACTGTTGCAGAAGGGATCCCTTGTTGTGAGACTTGACTGCTCTTGTGGCTTTATGTCGTAGCCAAAACAGCCCGAAGAAGGAAAATCTCTTCCTAGGCGTGCACCTGGACATCAGCCAAATGCTCAGCCTGTGAAAAAGACCCGTCAGCCAGAGACTGGGGAAGATATCCTGTTCAGCCGGATTCCCACCAATGCTCCAGGCTCTGGCTTTGCTTTTCCTGTCCCTCCTCCACCTTAGGGGAATCACCACTACCTTGATGGGGGGAATCCCTGTGTCCCAACTTCCTGGCAGAAAACAGCTCTTCACTTTGTGTTAGCAGTGAAGCCTTCTGGAGTGACAGGCAGAGCTCAGTCTGAATCAGATTGGGCTGTGTGAGAAGCAGAGACAGAAGAGAAGAGAATCAGAAGGAGGAAAAGAGAATGAGGCACGTGAAGAAACGAGATGTCCTGTGCCTGAGAGGGATGGGAAGGTGGGTGGTCACTGAGAAGTGCAGACAGAGGTTCTGCGTTAACCTGCTCAGCTAACATGCTCACATCTTCTCGGCTTCCTCCTCTACACTTACAGCTGGAAAGCTGGATGTAGGTTGTGTGTGTGGAGAGCTCAGGGGATGATTCTTCCGCATGGCCATCTGTAGCATCATCTGCAGGGTGTCCTCTGTGAAGAGGTTCCTTGGGCTCTTGACTGAGGGATAAAAACTACTCACTGCCACAGCAGGCAGAACCTGAGAGGGAGTGTTTCAGGCAAGAGAAGAGCAAATGCCTTCTCCTGCTCACTTCTTCCTTCCGCTTCCCCACTGAGCCATTTCCAGAAGCTCTGCTGGGGGGTCTGGGAGGTGGTGTTCAGACTTTCTCACACACAAACAGGACCGTTGGTCTCAGCATGCACCTCAGCTCAGTGTGGATCCCAGTGTGCAAGAACGCCTGCCACCTCCTGCCAGGGTGCCCCTAGAGGGGAGCTGTGCTGTTCCCCAGCTGCCTGCTTTCCCATCACCCAGAGCCTCTGGAGAACGGTCTGTATTGCCTGGTCCTCATGTGCTGGGCCCGGGACACATCCAGCATGGTGAGGAATCCAAGGAGCCTCTCTGAGAACGTGACATCCTCCTTCTGATTCCCCGTCATCTTGGCTGGCCCCTGGGTCCCTGAGGACGCCCTCAGCGGCTGTGCCTTCATTCCACCCAGCCTAGCAGCTTTGGCCAGCAAAGCTTAGCATGGGGCGAGTTTTCCTCCCTTGCTGGCACTGATCTGCCCTCCGCTATTTGGCTGCAGAACCTGTTGGTGTGTGAGGTCTGTTGGTGGACAGACTGTGCCTGAAACAAGGCTCTAGTATCCCAGGAAGTGTGAGGAGATGGAGATGCCCTGGCACAGCCAAACCACTCAGTGCACTGATGAACCCCCCAGTGCCACTGCTTGCGGGTTTCAGTGAGGAAGAAGTGAAGCCTTGGTCTCTGGGGACAGCAGGAAGGTGCCGACTGCCTGGATGATGAATATGCACAGTGAATGTGCCTGGAAGTGCAGGCAGGAGGAGAGTGTGGGGAGCTTTGCCTTCTTTGAAGCCCAGCGGTGCCTTCAGGAGACCCTCCTCTGCACCTGGGAGATGGTGATTGCCTGAAGGTGACCAGTGTCTAACTCGCTACCTGGAGCTGAGGGTAGAGGTCAAAGAAATTGTCAAGTATGGTTGAAAAGCATACCTAAATACCTTAAAAATGTTTTTGGGGTTTTTTTGATCTTGTTTTTTTGTCTTTTTTCTCACAATCTTATTTTGTTTTTGAATGTTAATAATTGACATGCATCTTCCCCAGGCTGAGTCTGTTTTGCCGGTGAGGCTACCTGGTATTTGATCTCCCTGTCTTTGGCTTGACCCATGAGTCTTGTCACCTCATTTCCTCCCCCTGCCTTACTGAGAAGGGGGCTTGAGAAAGAGTGGGTGGGCATCTGGCAGCCAGCCCGGGACAAACCCACCAGAGGACATGACAAAGCTACTCCAAACAGGACAATAGGAAGCCTTTGAGAAACATGACCATAAGGAAGAAATAGGAAGATGGAGGACAGGACCAGGAGCACAGCCAGGAAAGAACATGGACAAGACTCCCATCTGACACCTTTCTGAGAACTGGGTACTTGCAATTATTCTTGGCGAGAATAAAAGCACCCAAGGGAGAACAGCATGGCTCAGGGTCAAAAATGATCATATCTGAAAAACATTTCCCATGGTCTTCTTTAAACTGTCGAGAGCAGCAGGTTGGGAGTAGATGAAGTGGAATAAAAACTCACCGTGCTTTTTCATTTTTCTAGCATCCTAATAATCCATTTATGTTCACTTTTGTCCTAAGAGAGCGCAT